TGCTCAAGTCAACAACTTTGGACATTGACAGTCTTATGGAAAACCTACTACTATTATGGACTATTAGACTATATTGGGATATTTAGCTGAATGTACGCACCTACAGTATTTAAATGACAATGGAATGCCCTTCTCTGACAAAACTAACCAAAAAATGGGGATACAAATGAATGAACATTTTGTATCTGTATACTCAAAATAGTTAGCATAGACATACAGCTCCATTCTCTTAATTCAATGGAGAGGATTGTTCTAATAGTGTTCGAGACAGGAAATCAGGTCTGCATCTTGTACAATGAATAACCACTAAGACAACAATATGCAATGTATTAATTATTGAAAATGTACTCGTAATCAGTTGTGAAACTGTTTCATTGCTATTTGTTTCTCAATAAAAATATATTTTAAAAAGTCAGTTGATTAATGTCTCAAAAAAAAAAAAAAAAGAGTTGAGGAAACATCCCAGGAACACAGTCAGCTGTCTCAGAACAGACTCCCGTAACTTGGAGGGTCATGCAAGCTTTCCAAAAGGAGACAAGCTGTGCTTGTGCTGCCTTTAGGATCAGCAGGAATTGAAGATCTTTGCAGAATCAGGGGCAAATACAAAGCAGCTCGGAACCTAGCAGAAGCAGCACCTGCCACCTTAGTTCCCTGCAGCCCCAGCCACCCCCTCGGTAACCATGGGCCTGGTGGCTCCCACTCACAGAAAAGTAAATAAAGGCTTGGAGTTAGCAGATTCAAACCCAGCTTTGCATTTTTTGGCCGAGTGATAGGGAGATATTAGTGAGCCTCTCCAAGCCCATTCCCCATCTCAGTGGGGGGCTCTTCTGGAATTTCATGCAGTGACCTCAGAAAGCCAGCCATAGGTGCTCCAGGGTGGGCACTTGCATTTCTCTCTCTAGCAACCTGCCCCTGGCTGGGTACTTTGGGCTGAGCAAAACAGTGCAGAGGGCCCCTGGTCTACTCACCCCCTTTGGGGTGGCACAGGTCATCAGAGAGCCGGCCTTGGCTGCCATCTTCACCATCATCAGCAGGTTGGAAGGAGAGGAGTACAGGTTGGCAATGGTGACCACCCCTCCTGTGAGGTCCACCAGGGCATCAGGGAGGTAGCCGTAGTGCAGGTGAGAATAGGATCCCCGCAGCCTGGGAAGGAAGAGTCCAGATTCACCTTTGGGGTGCCTGTGGGGAGGCTCCCTGGGAAGGGCAAACATCTACTGAGCCCCTGCTTCTTCCAGGTGAGGGACCTCGATTTATGGCCCAGGGGACTAGCCAAGTAGACTTTTGCATGTGTCTGGATGAGTCACCAAGGGGGTGGTCTTGGAGTCTGTGAGTGGTTCATGGCTCCTTTCCCTCTGGCACTGTTTCCCTGCTCTGTCTCCAGGCTCTCATGAAGTAACCCCCTCTTGCCCTGATGCCCTGATTACCATTGGGAACCAGCCAAGTGTGGACTGATTTCCCTTCAAAAGTGAGCTAGATCGATCCTTTCCCCCTTTGAATTGTGGGTGTTGAGCGTGTTGTTCTAGGGAGGAAGGGCTAAGTCACCTGCCCGTCATAGACTATCTGAGTCCAGCTCCTGGCCTCCTCCAATGAGACCTCTCTCTCCAGACAAGGGACTGAACATCCTCAGGTCTCTGTTCCTCTGAGGATCAAGACAGCAGCCCTCATCTCAGGGGGCTGCATATGGCTCAGAAGGATATGTGCTTTGCACAGAACACACACAGCTCGCTGCTGTCCTCCTGAGGAGCCATAGGTCACACTTCCTGTCCTTCTACCCCTGACTTTTGTGCCTTCTATCATGGCCCTTGGGCACCAGGGAATGCTCTCCATGACAGCATTGTGAATGGCAAGCTGTAGAGTATCCTTCCCTGCTTGGGAGTCTATCTGCCTTAGGAATAAGCAGATCACTGTGGAATGCAGGGGATAGGCCGTGCCATCTGGAGGCCAGGCGAGGTTTCTGGAGGGTGCAATCTGAGTTCCTGTTTATCCGAGTAAGGATGGTGGCTCAGGTGTTCTAGGAGAAGAATCAAACCAGGTGGCTCAAGAGCCAGATGAGCATGGTGGAGTAGGCCAATGAAGGGCCAGAGAGCTGCCTGTGTCCCCTGAGGAGAGAGACTCCAGCAGTCAGGATGATGCAGGGAGCCTGGGCCAGATGAGGGCAGCCGGGCCTGAGAGCTCCAGTTTTGTCGGGGGGTAGGGTGAGTCATGGCTTCCTGTGGGGTCCTACACTACAGCTGGGGCCAGCCAGGAAGGGCAGGGACTACAGGCCAAGGGGGTAGCAAATCCTGGTCACGGCTTCCCTCCCCTCTGCCTCTGCCACTCAGCATTCTCACTGGAGCCTTGTGCATTCCTGTCCCTGAGGGGCAACAGGGGTGGGGCCTTTCACCAGGGGTGGGAAGTGTGGGGAGCCCTTGCCATGGCTTTTCCTGGTACTGCAGAATCAGATGGGAGTCATAGACCTGGCCCACCTTAACTGTAGCCTATGGGCAAGAACTTTCCATGCCCTGTCCTTCGCATTTCATCTGGAAATGGTGGGGGAAGATTGGGTTACCCTGGAGGCTGTGGGCAGGTCTTTCTCTTCCTGCTCCTACTTCACTTATTCTCCCCTTGGGGAACCACTCTTATTCTAGGATATCCACTTCAGCAAGTACATATTAAGCAGCCAATGTTAGAAGGATGTTGTACCACTCAGGAACACACCAGATGACTTAGAAAGCCTGTTATTAAAGGAAGCTCAGGCAGGTGTGATGGAGCACACCTGCAATCCCAGCACTCTGGGAGGCTGAGGCAGAAGGATCAACAATTGGATCCCTTAGTTGGGAAACGTAGTGACTTAGGGAAATCCTGTCTCAAAATAAAAAATAAAAATGCCTGGTTGGGTATGCAGGTCTGAGCAAAGGTCTTGGGTTCAATCCCTAGTATCACCACAAAAAAGAAAAGAAGGAAGGAAGGAGGAAAAGAAGGAAGGAAAAAATGAAAAAAGAAGGAGTAAAGGAAGGAGGAAGGGAGGGAAGGAGGGAGGAAGAGAGAGAGAGAGAGAAAAGAGGGGTGCTGGCCATGTAGCTCAGCAGTGCAGCAGCACCTGCTTGGCAATCACAATCACAAGGTCCTGTGTTGGATTACTGGCACACAAACAAGAAAGAAAACAGTGAGGATTGTGGAACAAAGGGCAATTTTGCAGACATTAGTACATAACAGGTTTATCTAACTCATTTTGAAATTGATTTTGTGTGGGGCATGTGGGTGCATGCATGTAATCCCAACACTTGGTCAGATGAGGCAAGAGGATTGCCATGAGTTCAAGGCCAGCCTGGGCTACATAGTGAGACCGTGTCTCAAAATAAGTAAATAAAAATAAAACTGATGTTGAAGCTGGTTTCTGGCCTTATTCTCTGCACTCATAATGATGGATATCAGACTCTTACCCCTGGAGTATTTGTTGAGTCAACCTTAAAGCCTACCTTGGGCCATGGTTATGCTCAGTGGGGTCTGAATGCTTGGCTCCTGATGTCATGTGTGTCTTCTGGCTCCTGTTCCTAAGTTAGGGTTTTCCTGAAAATGCTAGAGGTTCACAAAGACCAATGGTACAGAACTCACTCTAACTCCTTCTGGTATTCACTGTCACAACCCCTTCCCTGATACACACAGGGACACTCCTGGCTTCAAGCACAGCTGTGCTAGAGTCATTCCAAGGAAGCATCTGGGGGCTCTCTCGCCTTCCTCAGACCCAACATCTCAGTGGCTTTGGGCCATAACTGATGTTTTGTACCCACACCATTTTTCAGTCAGCACAGAGACACCCCTGTACAACCAGCAGCCCCCTCCCTTGCCTTCCAGAATCTTCTCTCATTATCTCTCCACAGTGCCCTAAAGCCAGTTCCTGCAGCGTCTGGGTGTCTTGACAAGGAGCTATCTTTATTCTTTCATGAGCTCACAGACCCATGGATGCTTCAAGAACACGGCAACTATTCTCAGTCCCACTTTCTAACAGGAAACAGAAAGGAGAGAGAGAAGTGTGTTCCCTGAAGCTGTCACTATGCCTTGTCACCTGAACCCAGGAATTCTGAGAGCTTGTCCTTACCCCTCAGCTTCAGCCTCGTTTGGGGGAAATGTCTCTCTACCTGCAGTGATAAGAAAGAGGAAAGAATCCGGAGCCAGAGAGGATACTAAAATACTGCAATTCTTACCTGCAGAGATTCTACCAAGGATGATACGCAGCCTACCGATCTTGCGCTTGATCTTTTCTCTATTTTATGACAGCTGAGGGGAAAATCTCTACGCTTAGTTTTCTTACCGCCACTACTGACTGATTGACCAATTCATTTCCAGGCTCCCCAGCTTCAAGGGCAACTGAAAGCCCCCAGTGGGCTGCTCTTGAGTTCAGCTGCCCCCACACCCTTGGGGGAAAGAGGTCTCCATGTGAGCAGATGAGGCCTCCACACTGTGGTATCCACCAAGCTCCGAAGGAGGCAAGAAGGTGGATCCCTCTCAGGAGGATGGATAGTACCGAGAATCAGTGGAACACTCCATGACCAGGGAGAACAGTTTCCACCCTAGACCTTCCTGGAGCAAATCACCCCACCTCCCCGAGCCTCAGTTTCCACAAAAGAAGGCAGAGATCAACATTCACAGAGGTCCCTCCTGGCTCTGAAATGCTGTCATTCTACTTAATTCACTCCTGCATCCTCTAACTTCCCTCTTTAGATGAATGGGGGCGAAACTTTTCAACAGCTTGAATAGCCGAAAACGTTTTATCCGCTGATCGGTTTCCTTGGGTGGCAGAATGGGGATTGTGGGTCTGCCTTCCCATTTCTTTTTCAGCTGAGTGATTGCTTTAGGTCAGTTGTTAACAAAAAGGGGTCAAAGTCATCATTTCATTCTACGAGCTTTCTAATTCTCCCTGTGAACCTCCGTGCTACCCCCTTTTACATGAGGAGCAGGCCAGGCCCTGCCGTCATGAGGGCGGGACCCAGAAGGGAGGGACAATGGCAGTGTTTGTGTAAGTAGCTCTGGAGTGAATTAACCTCCCTAGACATGCGCATGGGTTCAACAACCCTGGCTCTTCCCTGGGCTGCATTCTCCAGTACTAACGAACAGCTCTTTCTGACACCAGAACCAAGCTTCAGCCTTCATTTTTTTTTTTTTTTCACAAGCTGCCTCAAAAGAATGCATATGAAGATACGGTGAAGCCTTGTGTTACGTAGATTGTGGCTTCCAGAAGAACAGGAACAGTGTGGACTGTGGTTTCCCTCCCACTGGGCCCACTCCTGTTATTAATGGGGTCCCCCGGTCAGGTGAACAGGGACTGGGCATGTTCAGGGTAACTGCTGGCACCTGCCATCTCCTCGCTGAGCTGAGGGAGGCTCAGCTTCCCATTTGTGAAGTGAAGGACCAGGTAGGATGCTCCTGGAGCTTTCTGGCCCTTCGTTCTGCTCATTCTCCCCTAGGACACGTTCTGCAAGCCACAACTCCTCACTCTGGTGTGCCCCTCAGTATCTCCTACACAAACTTGTCCAGGTTCTGTGTGTGTGTGTGTGTGTGTGTGTGTGTGTGTGTGTGTTTGCCTGCACACGTGGTTTTAGACAGAGTCTCATATGTAGTCCAGGCTACCCTCAAATTTGTAGCTATCCTCCTGCCTCAGCTTCCCCGGTGCTAGGATGAAGAAGGTATGCACCACCATGCCCACTTCTTCTGGGTTCTTACTACTGTATACTGAACAAAGAACCAAAGAGGACACCCAAAAGAAACAGGAAGATCAAAGATTTATTAGAAGTGAAAGCACACTTCTCAGAGTGGCTAGTTAGACAAACTCATGGCCAGAGGAAGTTTGCTACAAAGGTTTCAAACACTAGAGCCTGGGGTGGGATTGAGGGGTTTGTCTAAGGTTTTGCCTCCATCAGTGAGCAGCTTGCCCCATGCCCACTGGGACTTGGAGGTTTTTCATCTTTTTAAGGATCTGGGAAGAACTGTCTTGAACAAATCCCAGGCAGCATATGTTAGAACTACATAGTCAAGACATGGGAATCAGGCTGGAGCTGGCCAAAGGTTGCAGAAGGGCTCTGAGCAAGGGCCCAGCGACTTTCTGTACGAGGTGCACTACCTGATTGCGTTCTCCTATTGTATTTAGTCCTGGATACCCTGGACCTGTACTGAAGTTAAACTCAAGAAGGGGTATCTACTCCAGAAGGTTGACCTAAGGCAGGCACTCCCCCTCTCTGTGGGGGGTCACTTAGCTACCTCTTTCCTCAGTCCCTCTTCTTGAGGAAACTGTCCTTTCCACAGCTTCTGCCCACAGGGGCTTGGTGGTCTGACATTGGCCATGTGTTATTGAGCCAGTGGGAACGAGACCAGGTTTGATTAGTCAGATTCTTGTTCACTGGAAGTGGCTTCAGATAAGGAGTGGCGGAGGGAACAGAAGCAGCAGGTGCCAACACCAAAGGGTGCAGAGGGAAGAGGAGCTGAGGCCAAGCTGCTTAAAGGGGAGTCACAAGAAGCAGTGGCAGAGCTGGCCCAGAGAAGTTGCCCCACCTGTATGGCTTTTCCTGGTCTAGAGGTCAGGACCTTGTTAGAACCAACCTTCAGACTCCACCTGATTTTATCACCAATTTTCCCCTTCTCCATATTATCACTGCAAGGGCCTGCTGTTGTTTGCTTTACTTTTTTAGTCATTTCTATTACTTATCTTGCTCCTTCCTTTTCTCCTCCTCACCCTCATCCCCACCCCTGTCCTTTTACCCTTATCCTCCTCCCTCTCCACCCACTTCAGGATGTGTAACGTGCACTGTTTTATTCCTGTGTGTTCTTGTAAAATGAGCATGGCATTCACGGAGCTTCCATGTCCATAAGTAAGCATGTATCTTCTTTTTTTTTGGTGGAACCAGGGATTGAACTCAGGCCCTTGTGTTTGCCAGAGAAACACTCTACTGAGCCATCTCCCCGCCCAGCATGTATCTTCTTGCTCAGTGTTTCTTGCCCCATTTTCTTGGCACCAGGATTCTGAGGACAGCCCAGGTTGCCACATGGAAATCAAACCTGTGGTTTGTAACCCTTGTGGGCCCTTCACTGGGCTGCTCCTGCTCAGGGCAGCTGTGCAGGATGGTGACCGACCTTGCATGCCACCCCAGCACCCTCAGGAACAGCCTTAGGCTTGTCCCTTCTGGCAGTGTCCTTAGGTGGTGTGGGAGGTGCACGTAACTAGTCTATCTAACATCATATGGCCCGAGGGAGATACCCTGGGACATCTTCCCTGTAGGCTTGTTTGAGGATTCTCGGAACCCCATTTCTTGACAAATACTTGATATTATCAACTTCCTAACGTTTATAGTTGGATAGGAATAGAAGGATGTTTTATTGTTCTATTTATATTTTTCTGGCTATGGACAATCTGAGCATCACTTCGTCACCTGTGAAGGTCTTTACAGCAGTGCCCTCTTCCCCCGCATATATGCAAGCATACCCTTGCATGCATCCAGTTGAGCCAGCCCGAGCGTGTGCAACCCAGTGCCAAGCACAGTGCCTGGCATAAGGTAAAATGCTCAATAAACATCTGTTGAGTAGAGGCAGCCCTAAAGACCCAGAAAAATATGAATTGAGATGCTCACAAATCTTTAAGTTTGTCAGCCTTAGAAGGCAGTCCCTGAGCATAGTGTGTCGGCTAGAAAAAAAAAAAAAAACAGGGAAATCCTGTTCTGCACACATATACAAATGCAACTTCCCTGCGCTCACACCAGAGTCTCAACTCCCTGGACTTCAGCTTGAAATATCACACCACGGCTTTTGCCATCAGGCCTTCCTCTGACTCTGCAGAGACCTGCGTATCCCTCCAGCCTTGCTCCGATGCCTCAGCCTGACTCTGAGGTCTCTTTTCAACCAAGATATCACACAGTTGATCTTCTGATTCTGCAGGCCCCACGCCCATGATTCAACCAGTTGCAAATGGAAAAATACTGGGAATACTATGTCTATACTGAGCATGTGCGTAATTTTTCTTGTCATTATTTCCTAAACAATACAGTGTAAAACAGTCATTTGCATAGCATTTACATTGTGTTAGGTATTACATGTAATGCAGAAATTATTTCAGGCATATGTATCAGTTATATGTAAATTCTAAGAAATTTTATACAAGATCCTGAGTAGCTGCAGATTTTAACATCATTGGGTAGGTCCTAGAACCACTCTCCTTCAGGTACCAAGGGCAATTGCATTTCAGCCGGACTCCTGCATTAGCATAGTAACAATACTGTTTATGCATAGTTTTACCTAGTCCCTGCCTGGTCCATACCTTGCTATGTGCCTCAGGGTCCCTGTGATGGCCCTGACATTGACCCTTACACACAATGATTATTCAGGGAGGATGCCTAGGCTGGTGTCAAGGGCTCTCATGCTCCAGGGACAATGCTTGCATTCCAGAGGGCTTCTAAGACCTGCAGGGCCACCTGGCAGGGAACATCTGGTGTGTGTGTGTTGGGGGGAGTTACTAGGGAGCAGAGCTAGCATCCACACTAGCCAGAGAGGCAGGCCTTTACTTACTTGGCATAGGCTTTCTCCAGCAGGCATGGCCAGAACTCTTGGCTGCCTTTGCAAGGATGCACGAAGAGGCATTCCTTGCCCACCACAGGCAAGCGGTCATCAACCACCACTTCTACCCAGTGGCCACACTGCCAGAACTGGAAGAGAGGCAAGCAGGTCTTAGTAGAGTTAGGGCAGTAGGGAGCTACTGCAGGCCTCCAACCTCAGCCAAAAGATTCCCACAGTTGCAACATGACCTCTGACAGCAACAAGCTCGGTCTAGACCATAATCCCAGCTTAGTTTACCAGTCAGAGGACAAGCATGTCCTCTCCAGTGGCAGTTGGAGAACATGAGTGAACCAAAGGAAATGCAGGTGTGGAGCAAGGAAACTTGGGTTTGACTTTGCTACTAATACACTTCAGCATGTCCTTTTAAGACCCTCCAGGTAGTTCTCATGTACAAAGGGAAGCAGGGGGAAGAGCCACTGAATAGCCAAGAAGAGCAGAGGGTTATAATGAGGTGGAAAGCCTGCAGAGCTGAGGGTTGGAGGGAGGCGGCAGGACTTAGCCAGGTGGGGAGGAGCAGGGCTGGCAGCTCAGATGGCAGGGACCACATGGGCCAGGGCCTGGAGGCAGCAATGTGCACGGCTTGGGGGACCGGGCAGTGACAGCCCCACCCTGGCACTCCTACCACGTCATGCTGGCCCTCACATTACAGCAGAACAATGAAACTGGCTGGCACTGCCACCGCTAAGAGTGCAAATGAGCCAGATGTTCCTCTCCAAAACAGACTGTTTTCATCTTTAGCATTCAGCTCTAAATGGTTCACCCGGGGACACTGCCAAATGAGGAACATTCATTACCAAGGCCAGCCTTTTGAGTTGTTCTGTGCTGGAGAGGCAACAAGGCTGCTGGCTTCAGGCCTGGGCCTTGTGGAAGGTAAATTTCCAGTAGGTGGGCTCTGCTAAAGCTGGGTGCATGTGACTTCTTAGGTGCATGTCCTTTTGCACAGCTGGATGTCCCAAATGTTGAACTGCCACGGCCAGCTGAGGACATGTTTTCAGAGAAGAGACTGAGACAGAGATGTCAGCAAAGATGAAGAAAAGAAGGTATCCTCACTGTCATTAAGGAGCTAGTGCATGCAGCTGTGGGCTGGGGTGCTCACTGCAGTGATTAGGAAGGTGTGGGATGGGGAGGCTGCAGCAACAGGGCCACCCAAAGCATTTGGGCAGAGCACCCGAGGTGCCCCAAGTGCTGGGAGCCTTGCGGAGCACCACCCAAGCCCACTGTGGTAAGAGGCCATCTACAGAGGGGTCAGCACTGTGGCTGCTTTTGAGAAACTGTGTGACTTCCTTTGTTACCCAGAGGGCAAAGTGCATCCTGTCTGAAAAGTTGTCATAACCACCGAAGTCACCCCTCCCAGCGCTCACAGCCCTGTAGGGATCCTGGACACAGCTCCCCAAACTTTCTAGTTCAGTCCTCAATGTGCTTCTCAGACCAGCAGCAGTGGGGGCAGTGCCAAGGTGCTTTGGAAAACCTCGGCTGCATGCAGCTGGACTTCAGAAGGCCAGCACAGGTAAAGGAGGAGGTCAGCGATGAAGGAGAAAACATAGCTAAGCTGAAGGAGGCTGCTGTAAAGGCTCACTGCCTTCCAGGCAAGAATCTTTCTTAAAAGGCACATAACTGTTTATATTCTGGAGAAAACCAAAGAACTCTAGAGAGTGAGAAGCTCATAGAGAGTTGGAGTTTGACAGTACATGCCACATACAAAATTAGGAGAATGGATTGACAATGGAGCTTTCTTCTGTGACTTTGGAAGATAAAAGACAATGGGACAATGGGAATTTTGAGGAAAAGGAATATGATCCAAGAAGCCCGCCTGTAGCTAAAAAGTCATTTGTGAGACTATGAAAAACTCTCATGTTATCTGAGAAAAGCATTCCATGAACTGCTTCTATCTAATGAGGGATAAATTGGCACACTGAAGTCAGGAGAGCTGAAAGAAGGGATAGGAAGAAATGAGTTCAAGTCCTCTTTTAATAAGAAGGAAACCTGTAAAAGTGAAAATGCAATTGACAATAAAGAGATAAATAAAAACATGAGAGGGAAATGTAAATAACAGCAAGCTGGAGTTGCAATATGAATATCAGACGAAATTCAAGGCCAAAGGTTCTAAATATAACAAGCAGGGACGTTATGCAAGTTACATTTTAACAACCAGCCAGCAAAATCATAAACCTTTGGCCTCCTAAGAGCACAGCAGGAAAACATGCAGAAGCAGAATATCCCAAGGCCCAAGATGTTTCCAAATGCCTGTGAGAAGGAGGTTATTGCTTTAATCTTTTATAAACCAAACGAAGTAAGCCAAGATAAAGTGAACAATTGGAGATAAGACAGTCTGCTAATTCAATAAGTAAAACTCATGACCATTGGACGAGGATAACCATGAGACCTTAGTAAAAACTGTCAAGGACTTGACCATAAATAAAGCTACTTTATTTTTATTTTTTGTTTGTTTGTTTGCATTGTAACCTATTGTTTTCAGCCTCCCCCCGTGCTGGGATTATAGGTGTGTACCACCATGTCCGGTCTCAGTGGCTGGCTTAGGGTGCACAGAGGCGGGGCTGGTGCAGCATGTGGTGCCAGGGATTAAACTCAGGTCTCTGTGCTTGCCTGAGCAGGCACTTAGTCTGCTGAGCTATCTCATGGACACAAAGGTTCTTTATTTTTAAAGACTACAAAATAGTGATAGGAAAAAAAACCCAGCGTTAGAAATGATAAAGTAAATAAATAAAGTAATAGGAATTCAACAATGGTTGCTGTATTACATAATGCTATCTTCAAATTAGTTGCTTAGATTACCAGATATAAACGTGTAAGATTCGCTTCAAGAAAAAAAAAAGAACAATAACAAAGAAGTTATAAGAAATTCAACAGAGGAAAATACATCAGAGTAAAAAGAAAAAATAATTTTAAGCATTAACTGGTTCTTTCAAAACACCTGCAGAAATCAACAATACAATTGTCCAAATTATTCTGCATATACACCAATAACTTCCCCAAATGTAGACATTTTATAAATTGTAGTCTCTGGCCATAATTTAATAAACTAAATCTCAGCAAACTTAAGTGATAGTTTTGTTTGTTTGTTTGTTT